CAGTCAATAAGTTTTTGTAAGTGTTTTTGTTTGACTCGGGTTTGGGTTTTGGCAGTGTTGGGGGATTAAATGTAGGGCCTTTGCACTGAGCTATACCCGCCCCAACACACACACCCAGTGTTTTTAACTCTTTGGACAGGATTTGCCAAATTCCCTAGGCCAGGCTGGAACTTTCGATCCAGGTGGCTGTGAATCCAGCTCATACCACACCTTCAACCAAGGACTGGATTTTAGAGGTGACAAGAGGAGAGGAAAGGACTTGAGCGTCTAAAGGCACGGGCAGCTCTCTGGGGGAAACAAGGGAATGACCCATGCAGGGTAGTCGGGAGTGTTTGTGGATCTGGGTCCCTCCGGTACCACCCCGGTGTCTGCAGTGTCCACCTTGTTTTCCGGTGGGAGGGGAGGCAGGGTAGGTAGACTTTGTAAATCCATGTCCTGCTTGACCAAAGATCCAACAGGGCCGAGAGCTCTCCCGCCTCTGCTCCTTGACGACTTCGGCTCAACCATCCGTATTTGGGGGAGGCCCATGCTGGTCCTCCACGAGTCGTGGGCGCCGTTGCATTCTGCCTGCGCCTTGCGTATTTTGACACTGGATGCTTTGGTGCCCGGGACTCACAGGAGGAGCCGCCCCCTCTGAGGCTCTTCCACCAGAAAGAAAGCAAGCAGGATCCTGGTGCAGGTGTGCCTGGGAAGGCGAACTTCCGGCCACGCCTCCCTTGGCCCGCTAGTGGAAGGAGTTCTGATTCATCTGTATGAGTTGTCTTAATGAGCCGGCTTCGTGCCGATCTCAGCACAGTGCTGGGATACCTCAGGCAGTAAGCCACGCAGTGGGGCTGCTGGCTGGTCATAAGGCAGCCTGCTACTTCGGAGGCTGAGGGAGGAAGGTCTGAGTCTAGGAGCAGCGTGAGGCCAGCCTGGACTACACATCGAGACTCCCCCACCCCAAATTTAAAAAGGAAAAGAGGGGGATTACTGGGTGCCCCCCCAGACACTGGCATTCACCCCCCTCGGGAACCCAAGGCACCTGCCTGCTCACAGTCTCGCCGTGAACTCTCAGGAACTGATGACCAGGTTCTGAAGGATGAATCCTCATCAGCAAGCTGCAGGCAGAGAGGTTGGAAGGGAAGGATTGACTTGTTGAAAAGAAACCATGATTAAGATTTTGGACCTCTCACTGAGGGGAGTAGGAGAGGGTGGAGCACTTTTAGTCGTGGAAGAGCAAACAAAACTTTTTACCTCTGTCAAGGAACAAAATACAACTGTTTGGTTTCAAGGTCCTAAATGGCATTCCAAGATACAGAGGAGCAGCAGACTTGGTTTCTCCTCCCACACACTCATAACGCAGGCCAGCCGTTCTGCAGGACATGAGCTGGGTTTCCTGCCATCTCCGGAGAATGTCGGAATCCACCCGGGATGGCTCAGTCGTGAGGCTTCTGCCACTTCTGACACCACGGGCAACTCCAGGCCTCTGGAAGGTCGGAGGACCGGCTGCTGAGTCCCCGGGACCCTTCCTCTAGGCCATGTTAACTTGTTAGATCGAGTCGTGGAGCTCAGGGAAACACCTTTCTGGGCTTCTTATAAAGGATGTTTCAAAGGATACAAACGAGCAGCCAGTGGAAGAGATGCCCAGGGGAGGTCTGCAGGGTTCCTAGCTCGGGAGCTTCTGCCCCATGGGGTCGGGGTGCACCACCCACCCCGGAAATGGATGACTTCTTCACTGTCTTGTAAGCTTCCGCCTGTTCCGCTAGTTCTCTCAAGCCTGACCTCGTGTGCTTTGTAAAACTTCATTGCTTAGAGATTATGGGAGCATGGGCAGCTGTGTGGAAAGAGGTTTGGACAGCAGGACACAGTAGATATTTCACTGTGAGAGAAATACAAACTGTAGCTAAAACATTTACTATCACTCTTTCAGTAATCCTCATTTTAAAAAATCAGTCAAGCCAGGCTGGTGGTCCATGCCTGTAATCCCAGCACTCAGGAGGCTGAGGCAGGCAGACTGCCACAATTTCAGGCCAGCCTGGGCTACACAGGGAGACCCTGTCTCAAAGTGGAGGGGCTGGTGGGCTGTGACCAAATGGGGCTTACTGCGGGAATATTAAGTTAAACTTTTTAAGGGGGGCATGGAGTATGTAACCTGGGCAGGCCGCCAGCTTGCAAGGCTCCTACTTCTTCCTCCCAGAATGCTGAGATTATAGGTCTGCCTCACCATAAATAGCATAAGTGAAACATTTTATAAAAATCAAAGCTGGGGGTTCAGCTCAGGGGTAGAACCCTGGCCACCATGCAAGAAAATTATCGCATAACAATTAAAAGAAAAACGTCATCGCTCTAGAAAAAGCATCTGACAAGATTCAACCCCTAACCATGGAAAAATTCCTGGGCAAATAGAAAACCCTTCTATCAGAGAAAGGGTAGTATGAGAATATGTATAGTAACATA